AATATATTTCCCCTCTCTATGTTTTTTTTTTTTGGGGGGGGGGGGTGCTAAACAAGCCCAGCTCTTTTCTTCTCTACTCATAAGGTTCCCCATTTTTGTAATCATCCTAATAAGCTTTTTCTTTACTTGTTTCCCTCTGAATTCATATTTAATGTTTGTGGATAACCATAATTTTACACAGTATTTCAGAGGATGTCTCACCAAGGACTTGCACAGTTGCATTAATATTTTCCTATTTCAGCTGGAAATATTTCATCCCAGCTCTTTTCTTCTCTACTCATAAGGTTCCCCATTTTTGTAATCATCCTAATAAGCTTTTTCTTTACTTGTTTCCCTCTGAATTCATATTTAATGTTTGTGGATAACCATAATTTTACACAGTATTTCAGAGGATGTCTCACCAAGGACTTGCACAGTTGCATTAATATTTTCCTATTTCAGCTGGAAATATTTCATGGGATACCTCCTAGAATGGCCTTTGCTGTTTTCAGAGTTACATTACATTGGACATTTCTAGTCATCCTGCAGTTGACTAATACACCTAGATCCTTCCTTCCTTCAGGCATTTCCAACTGATTGGCCCTCATCTTACTGCAGAAATTCTTGGTATTAGACCCTTTCTGCATGATCTTACACTTCGTAGTGGTAAATTTCATTCAATTTCTCTTAGGATCTCTAGATAATTCACTTCATTCTGCATGGTGTCTTGAAAATGCTGTTTAATTTGGTATTGTCAGCAAATTTAAAAATTGAGGGTGGGAAACTTTCACAATATAGCTTGAAGGATGAAGGAGGTAGTGAACAGTTGATTTGCTCTCAAAAATTAAACCCTGGCTACTTTCCTCCAACTCTGAGCTGTTTGCCAATTCCTCTGATCTGGGCCATGACTAGGGTGACTTCCTGAAAGGTCATCCTAAAGCAGTGGTCACCAAACAGTGGATCTCAATCCACCAGTAGATCTCAGATCCTCTTGCGGCAGATCTTGGAGCCTCTTGGAGTCGATCCAAGGCTGGGGTGGGTAGCTGAGTGACCGTGTGCATGCACACGCATGCCCCCAGCCCAGCAGGTCAGTCCATGGGGGAGGGAAGAGGTGGGGGCTAGATCAAGGCCCCCATGGTGAGGGGCAGTGCTGCAGAGGCAGGAGCAGGGGTAAGCTGAGTTGGGCCCCATCTGGGTGGGATTTACCTGCTGGGGAGGCATGCCCCCAAATATTTTTTTCTCCCTCTGCCTCAATCTGCCCCCCCTTCTCTCCCCACAGACTTACCTGCTGGGTGGTGAGGGGGGGAGGGTGGCAGCGGCACACGGTAGATCTTGGGTTGCTTTTAAATGCCAGAGGTGATCTCCTACTTAAAAAGGTTGGAGACCACTGTCCCAAAGGAAAACTTTTCTTGGTCTGCACCTTTTTCTTCTGCAAAAACGTCAGGATAAGATTTTCCAAGGAGATTCATAATTTGGCAGGTTTAAACTAAGATCCTGTGCAGGGGCTTTATTTTCAGAGATTACATGTGTTTCATCTGTACCCAAAACCACCAATCAGTTTGATAAATGTTGGCCTTCATATATATATATGCACAGGTCTTTTCCATTCATGAGAGAAGAGAGGTACAAAAATGGAATAAACAGGTTTCATTAGTAGTTATAACATGTCAGATGTAGGCAGACACATACCCATAAAGTATTTTATCATCAATCATCATTTAGAACCATTTTGTCTTAGATAGCCCTTCTTACTAGAAATTCAACCCAAAATTCAAATCAAAAGTGTTGTGCCCCCTGCTGTGCCCTGCCTGTTGCCTCCTACCTCCATTGCCCACCAAGTCCTGTGTCCCTGTTGTCCCCACCTCCAGTCCCCCCCTAAGCCCCCGCCCCTGTTACCTCTAGTCCCCAACAAGACCCCTGCTCTTCTTGCCCCCCACATCTAGTTGTCCACAAGCTTCATGCCCAGCCTTTCCCCCCACGTCTAGTCCCCCCAAGCTCCATGCCCCGTCCTTGCTCCTGCCTCTAGCTCCCCCAATCTCCTCCTGTCCCTTATATTTTCAGCTTTTTCTATTCAAAACTATTATTACCTTACTCAGAATTAAGTAATCAATAGTTCCATTTCAGCCTTTCCTTCAGAAGAGCAAAATTTGTTGTGACAGAGGAAGATCTAATAATGCATTATGATTGTATCCAATTGATAAGTTTCATGCTTTCCCCATTGAATTTAAAGCCTGATTCAGAAAACATACTTAATCAAGTCAATTGAAATCAGTGGATTAAAACCTGCATTCACAGTTAATACAGAGACTTAAAGCATGTGCTGAAAATTAAAACTCGGGCAAAAACTCCTGGTCCATGTATCTGGTATAGCTGTCTTACAATAGATGTGCTTTTTCCTTTTTCCAAGGGTGTCTTTAATGTAATGCAAGCATTTATTTATCCCAGTGGGATCACACAAGGAGCAATACAGCAATCGTCTTTATTGTATGAACAAAAGACTCAATGCAATGCTGTTCAAACGTAACAGCAGGCAGAATCCTACCACGAGACAAACATAATGTAGAATAGCTCCACTGGCTGGAAAGATTGCAGGTGCATGCTCACACACACACACCTGACTCAGTACATAACACCCTTCCCACAGATAATGCCATCTTTAAAATACTGAGGCCAGATGGTGACTCAACCGATTATCCAATTCAGGGCTTGGAGTTGTCTCACTAGAGATGCCAGCAGGCTCTTTTGGCTTTTCCTGAGTTGCTTTAGCACCTGAGGTATTCCATAGGTCTGGAACAACAACTGGTGCATACATAAGAACTGGCTTTGCTGGCTATATGATGTCTTCTGCAGATGGCTTATCATCTGAAATTCAACCTCACATCTGATCAATATGTCAGTAAAGTGCCTTGTCATCTAGAGACTTGGCCTTGTATGAAACCAGTCCTGTAGCTTCAAGGATCTATTGCAGACACCCACTGTGACTCAGTTGCAGAGTTTTGGACACGCCCAGTAAGTACAGGGCTCAGCCAGGTCCCTGCTATACCCATCTTGGAGAGAACTAGATTTTTTGCTTGGTGCTTGACCATTGAATCTCAGTGGAATCAAACCAAACAAGTCTTCAATCAATGGTTCAACCAATAGTTCTGCAGAGTTTTGACTTGTTGCTGTCCATAGAATTGCTGTTATAGTAAAAAATATTTAATCCTAGGTTCCAGTCAGTATCAATAATATGCTTCAATGCATCTTTAGTAGTTTGGACCATCTGCTTGGCATGGCCATGGGATGATGGATGGAACAGTGTAGATGTGGTGTGATAGATAAGATTCCTGTCCTTGGACTTCTGAATTCTTCAGAAGTAAATTGTATACCATTGTCAGACATAACAGAATGTGAAAGACCGTGTATCTCAAGCAGTTTCCATACAACCTGGATTATGGTGCATAATGTCATTGATGACATATGTTGAAATCCTTTAGTTTGGCAGCTGACCATACTGGTTGAAATGGAGCCATCTAATGCTTCAGAAGTCAGTGCAAAGGGATTTTTTAGTAGTGAGAGTATTTAATTTTATGACTTGTCACTAGGTTTGGCTACAGATGTGAGTGAGTGAACTAATTCAATATCTTGCAAACCAAAAGCTTGCCAACAAACACTGTATGTTTCTGGTTAGCCTCAATAATCTGATTGATTTCCAGATAGAAGATGAGCTAATTTTCATACCAGGCCCAAAACACAAGCCTGGCCATGTGGATTTCTTCAATGAAGCCCAAAGTTGTCATCGTGGAAAGCAGCCTCACTAAACACTAGGGCTGCGCAAAGCTTTGGTGGCCAATTCAATCTGGAGGAGATTCAGCCCAAACTGGCAGCTGAATCTCCAAATCTGAATCGAATCAGGAGACCCATTAAAAGGTCTGAATTGAACTGGAAGCCTCTGAAATGATTCAGAAAAGATTCGG